ACGTGGGTTCGTGCCCCGGTCCGGGAAGATCCCACATGCCGCGGAGTGGCTGGGCCTGTGAGCCATGGCCGCTGAGCCCGCGCGTCTGGAGCCTGTGCTCTGCAACGGGAGAGGCCACAACAGTGAGAGGCCCGCATACCGCAAAAAAAAAAAAAAAAAAATAAGGGAGCTGTTTAAAGAGACCATTGTGTCTCTTAATTAAGCCAGCTGCCTGGGACCTATTGGGAGATGAAAGTTCCATTGAATGCCTTTCGCAAGAGCCCAACATTGTGTGTTTTGAGAAGTGAAATGTATGCTTTGGTCACTACTAGTAATGTCTTGAACTCTGAAGGGAGTAAGGATTGTCCTGGTGAGTCCTTGTGTATGTAGAGACGAGTGACTTTGATTTATATTTGAGTATCTGTAAGGCAAGAGATTCCCAGATTTCTTTACCCTTAAAGGGACAACTCTTAGGCAATGGCCCAAGAGTTTGTAAAAATGTGCAGATGGGACCATTTGTTTGTCAGGACATTTGTGCAGAGATGACTTCCTAAAGTTTGACCACTTGTTCTGATCCTTGGATCCTGTCCTTTATGGGGGACATCCTAGTTAAGGAATGGAAAGCAGCAACATTACACTTAGCTCCATCACCTATGATGGTGGCAGTGCTATTCATAAATTCTGTGGGCTCACATTGCTGTTTACTTAGTTAACCCCAGGAGGATTCCTAGTCAAGGGCTCTGAGGGAGGGGTGACCTCCTCTAGCACCATGGCATCTGGCAAGGGACTAAGGACAGGGAAGACCACTCCCTCCTGTAGGTGGAACATTCCAGAGGGCTCAGGCTTGGCTGAGTCTATGGGATGTACCTGTGCTGAGTTTGTGGGGGTGCTGCCTCCATGATCCAAGGCATAGTAGGCATCTGGGTTCAGAGAGTCCCAGGCTTAGGGTCTTTGAAAGCCTTTATCTCCAAGAGATCTTAGTATATAGCCAGCAGTTGTCACTCTAGTGGTATATAGCATAGGGCCAAAAGGGGCACTTTCTTGCATCTTAAGCCTGTAGGCACCTGGTGGCCATCAGAGGGGGTTCAGAGGCGTGAGAGGAGGTTGCTGCAGCCCCTGCAGAGGCATCTCTGAGGGCAGCAACAGGAGTGACTGCTGATTTTAATTTGAACAGATTCTGGAGCCTTTTGTTGGCAGGGTTCCTTTCCAAGGTGGGATGATTTGTAAGTAATGGCATCAGTGAGATTAACTAAAATTTGTAAGTAAGGAATATGTTGCTTCCAGACCCAAATAAGACTGAAAGACATTATGGGTGCTGAGAGATTTTACTGTAGTTTCTTGACAGTGTCAGGCATAGAGTTGCCCTGTTTTACCAATACTTTTCAGGAATTTAACGAAGGTGTCAGGGCTTTGCATTATGTGTGAGGCAGTGGCCTATGTCTTTTTTTGTGAGCTCTTTTGTGAGTATTTTTATGTCCTTAATGAGCATGTTAAATGAATCTCCTCAGAGGAGGGTGTCATCCATATAATGTCATACCTGTGCTCCTGGAAAAAGGTGGATGCAGTTAAGACTGTGTACAATGGCAAGGCTACTGAGGTATCCGTGGGTAGCCTGGCAAAGGTACATTGTGTTAGACCTTGATAAGAGAAGTATTTAGGGTGTGGGTTTAGCAAACTTCCTGTGAAGAGGAATTGAGAGTTTTTAGCCATGACATCAACATTGGGTCAAGACAGCACTTGTGAAATATTTTATCACAGGCTCGTACCTCATGCTACACACAAAAATTTACTCAAAATGCACCATCAACCTAAATGTAAGAGTACAAGCAGCCAAAGGGGAAAAAAATACATAAATTGGATTTCCTCAAAATTAAAAACTTTCAAGCTTCAAGGGACACCACCAAGAAAGTGAAGATACAGCCCACAAAGTGGGACCCAAAATTTGAAAATCACAAGTTCAGGAAGGGAATTGTATTTTGGAATATATGAGGAATTATTACAACTGAAATAAAAAGACAAATAACCAAAATTTTTTTCTTCCTTTTTCCTTTTGGCCACGCCACGACGCATTCCCCAACCAGGGATCGAACCCATGTCCCCTGCAGTGGAAGCACGGAGTCTGAACCACTTGGACCTCCAGGGAAGTACCACCAAATTTTTTAAATGAGCAAAGAATTGGAATATACATTTCTCCAAAGAAAATACACAAATGACAAATAAGCACATAAAGATGTTCAACATCATTGCGGAAATGCAAATCAAAATCATGACATACCACTTCAGACCCACTAGAATGAATTTAATCCAAAAGATGGCGAAGATGTGGAAAAAATGGAACTTTGATATATTGGTGGAACTGTAAGATGATGCAGCTGCTTTGAAAAAGAGTTGGCAGTTCCTCAAAAAGGTAAACATGGAGTTACCATATGATCCAGCAATTCTATTCCTAGGTGTATATGTCTAAGAGAAATGAAACATATGTCCACACAAAAACATGTACATGAATGTTCTTAGTAGCATTATTCTTAGTAACAATAAGTGAAAACAATGCAAATGTCCATCAACTGATGAATGGGAAAAATGTGGTGTATCCATACAATGGAACATTATTTAGCAATATGTATAAAGGCAAAGATACTAATCTATGCTGTAGCATGTGCTAACCTTGAAACATGCTATGTGAGAGAAGCCCATCACAAAGACCACATATTGTATGATTACATTTATATGAAATGACTAGAATAAGCATAGGTGTAGATATAAAGAGTGGATTAGCAGTTGCCAGGGTCTGAGGGAACAAGAGTGGGAAGTGACTGCTAAGGGGTATGGGGTTTTGGATAATGAGAATATTCTAAAATTAGATGGTTGTGCATCTCTGTGAGTATACTAAAAACCACTCAGTTGTATTTTTAAAAGGATGAATTTATGGAATGTTGAGTTATATGTCAGTGAAGCTGTTACGAAAAGAAACAAGTATAAGGAAGATTCTATAGCCAGTGGACGCAGAGAGTGGTTAAATTCACAGACCTGTTTGCTGATCACGTGTTAATTGTATAAAGAATCTAGCGCATAGTATGTGCTGTATGCAAATTATTTGTTGTACAACCACTTTCTCAAGTCATCCCCAGCCTTACATTTAGAGGCAGAATGATGTTCAGCAGGATAACAAGGGAGTGCTGCTTCCAGAATTCCTGAGTTCAGCTGAGGCCATGATTGGATGCAACAGGCAGCCTTCTTCTTATTTTGTTTTTAATTTTTTGGCAACGCCACGTGGCATGCGGGATCTTAGTTCCCCAACCAGGGATTGAACCTGCGCCCCCTGCAGTGGAAGCGAGGAGTCTTAACCACTGGACCGCCAGGGAAGTCCCCAGGCAGTTTTCTGTTAAAGGATGTTTTGGGGAATTCCCTGGCGGTCCAGTGGTTAGGACCCTGTGCTTTTACTGCCGAGGGCCCAGGTTCAGTCCCTGGTTGGGGAACTAAGATACCACAAGCCATGCAGCCAAAAAATAAATTAATTAAATAAAACTTTAAAAAATTAATTAAAAACAAAAAGAATGCTTTGGATTTGTTCCTTGGTTACTTGATGAGTCTAGTGTGACTTCGTGTGGCCTGGATGAAGCCTACAATTTGGACTCAAAATGCTTCTTGCACCTTGGAATGTGAGAACGAGCCAGGGAGGCACCCTGAGCTATTTATATTTAGTGTGTTGAGTCTGGGGGAAAAAGGCAGATCTTAGTTGTGGGAAGTGTTTGTTCCAAGATTTGGCCTACATGGATACAGAGCACTTCTAGGCCTGAGGGTCCCATCAATGTCCTTGAAGCAGGTATGACTTGGATACATTTTGGATCAGAGGCCCCTAGTCTGAAAATATTAACCACTCAGGACAGGTCAGAGAACCCTACGAACATCATAGGAATTGGGTACTGCTTTAGCATAAATGAATTCTTCTGTATCTGTGTTTTTTGGGATTGGGGAAGGGATTTGATTGTTTATATTTCTGCAAATCTCAGTATATATATTGGGGCATGGAAGGGACCAGGTGCCATGAAAAGGGAAGGAAATATTTATCTTAACTTAGTCATTTAGAAGGAAGCCTATTCTCACAGTTTCCTTTTTCTTTACTGACTCTGTATTCTCAGGACTCAGCACTTCTCCAGAGGAGGACTAATAATTTTCCCTTCTAAGCCATGCCCCATGTGAGTTGGTGTTTTTTCTTCTCCTCATGAAATAGTCATTGTTTTCTAGGCTATGAATGCTCAATATTCTTATCTGCAGATTTTCTGCCTCACTAAGCCCCACCCCTCCCTTCTCTAGCCATATTTAGGGATCCATTCTGCAAATCAGGAAATGTATTAAGGAAAGAGTAGAACCTCTTGTGTCAGAATGTGGTTTGATGAGATGGGACTACACATGCAAAATTCATTCTTTCTCACTGACCTCCATTTTCTGGTTGATGAGGATAGAAAATTGCTGTTTATCTCAGAATGTGGTGAAATCTTTGGTCTGTGAGGCTTTTAAGATTGGAAATGTGATCAAATGTAGGATTGAGAACAGAGAGAGAGCATGTCATATCAGTGAGTACCTCAGAGGTGAATACCAGTGACAAGGTCCATTTCAAATTTGAATAGAATGTGTAAGTCAGGGGCCACATCTGTGTGAGTTTAGCTCATCTTTCATTGGTTTTCTGTTGCTCAGAATAAGCAAAATGTACAGTGAGCAATGATAAGTGGTAAAATGATCATCCAGAGGGTTAGATATTTGTGAATTTTAGAAACAGAGCTGATGTTAGAGAAGGAAAACAAACTAAATACTGGAAAATAAGAAAATGATTACAGGGAATTCCCTGGTGGTCCTGTGTTTAGGACTCTGTGCTTTCACTGCCGAGGGCTGGGGTTCAATCCCTGGTGGGGGCACTAAGATCCCACAAGCTGCACTGTGCAGCAAAAAAAAAAAAAGAAAAAAAGAAAATGATTATAATTATAATATGGAATATTATATACCTTATAAAAATGATGTCTATGAAAGGATTTGCCAGGACAAGGAAGAATATTATTGCTAAGTTATTCTGAGACTTGAGTTGGAAATAAATTCTTAAATTATATAGAAATCTTATTTTCTAAGATAAACTTTTTTTTTTTTTTTTTTTTTTTTTGTGGTACGCGGGCCTCTCACTGCTGTGGCCTCTCCCATTGCGGAGCACAGGCTCCGGACGCGCAGGCTCAGCGGCCATGGCTCACGGACCCAGCCGCTCCGCGGCATGTGGGATCTTCCCGGACTGGGGCACGAACCCACGTCCCCTGCATCGGCAGGCGGACTCCCAACCACTGCGCCACCAGGGAAGCCCTAAGATAAACATTTTAAAAGACATTTGGAATGGGCCCATCAGTTTTGTTTTTTTCTCTTTTTTCTCCCTCCCTTCCTCCTTCCATCCTCTCTTTCTTCCCTCCCTTCCTTCCTTTTTCTTATTGTCAATTCTTTAAAGGGAAGAGGGGAGGAAGGAATTTGCAACTTATTTGAGAATTTGCATGTGTTATGTGCTTGCACACGGTATTTCATTTAATCAGAGAACTCCACTTACCTGGCTTTTGTTCATTCTTGTAACTGTTCACAAGAAGCTATGACAGAGTAATAGGAATGTTTAGAAACTATTTAGGTGCTCTGCATTTATCACACTCTCTTCCTTTTTGTTACTTAGCCATATTGCAAGCTTCCAGCTTCAACGTATTTCTGTTTTGGCCACTTTATGTAATACATTTCTTCTCTCATTACTTCTAAAAAATATTTCTTTATTTTACCATTAACCCTGGGTTGTCATTTCAGAGTTTGGTGTCATTCAAGGATGTGGCCATAGACTTCTCACAGGAAGAGTGGGAGTGCCTGGACTTGCAACAGAAGGATTTGTACAGAGACGTGATGTTGGAGAACTACAGCAACCTGGTCTCACTGGGTAATTTTGTCTGTTCCTAATAATTCAGCTTCAGTCTTTGTGAAATTTAGAAAAGTTTCCAAGTGCCTAGCTGAATTTCAGACCCCTAGTCCCAAATAAATTTTTTGTGCTTTATAAACTTTGAAATGGACAGCTCCATTGGGCACTTTTATCTACTCTTTTCTTCAGATATCCTTTCTCTGAATCTTTCTGTAATTGACCTTCTTACTTGATGAACAGTGGACTCAATTTTAATTCTGGACAAACAGAGTGTAACCGTATCTATTTCCATTCTTATAAGCAGGATTTTCCATTTCTAAGCCAGATGTGCTCTCCTTATTGGAGCAAGGGAAGGACCCTTGGAAGGTTGTACGGGATGTGACAGGAGGTCTGAGCCCAGGTGAGTAAGAGATGATCAGGCAAAGGGAGGCCGTTGTTAAATTCCTTCATAAGTTGGCCACACCTTTGAGTTATTAGCTCCAAAGTTCTCCTCACAGACCCAACCAAGGCCTTTTACTCCTAGGCCTGTGGAGTAAAATCCTGAGCCCTGGAGGACAAAACTGTTTTAGCATCAGTTACCTAAGGAATCCCCTTCTTTGCTCCATTTACCACTTCCCTTGTTTTCTTTCATGTTCCCCTGTATTTTCAAACAGGGGATAGCCCTCCTTTTTCGATGATAACCATTTTAACATTTTATATTTTTGATCCAGTGAAACCTGTATGAGCCTTTATCCAACAAATATTTTTAAATACCCTCTATATTCTAAGTATTGAGAATATAACAGTAAACAAGAAAAATTCCGTATCCCCATTGATCTTTCCTAGCAGAAGAAATAGTCAGTAACAAATAAAAATATACAAAGAGTGATGAGTGTTATGAAGCAAAACAAAAAGCATAGAGAATCACAAAGTAATGGGGGGAGGTGTTCTTATAGAAAGAGTGGTTAAGGATGACTCTCTGAGGTGCTCGCATTTGAGGGGAGACATGAATAGAGTAAGACATGCAAATTCTGGGAGAAGAGCAGGTTTTTGTTTTTTAGGGTTTTTTTTTGGTACGCGGGCCTCTCACTGCTGTGGCCTCTCCCGTTGCGGAGCACAGGCTCCGGACGCTCAGGCTCAGCGGCCATGGCTCACGGGCCCAGCCGCTCCGCGGCATGTGGGATCCTCCCGGACCGGGGCACGAACCCGTGTCCCCTGCATCGGCAGGCGGACTCTCAACCACTATGCCACCAGGGAAGCCATGTTTTTTAGGGTTTTTTGTTTGTTTGTTTTTTGGCCGCCCTGCGTGGCTTGTGGGATCTTAGTTCCCCAACCAGAGATCAAACCCAGGCCCTCGGTAGTGAAAGCTCAGAGTCCTAACCACTGGACTGCCAGGGAATTCCCAAGAAGAGCAGTTAAGGCAGAGGGACTAGCAGTTGCAGAGGAACTGAGGTAGCAGTGAGTTTGATCCTTTTGAGGCTCAACAGATAAGTGTGGCTAGGGTGAGTCAGGGAGAACAGAAATAGAAGAAAATAATGTATCAATATAGATTCATCAGTTTTAACAAATGTACTGCACCAATGCAAGATATTAAGTTATTACTGATCAGGGAACCTGGAGGGGAAGGAAAAGGGAGCATGTGGGAACTCTCTGGACTTAATTCAGTTTTTCTGTAAACCTAAAACTACTCTTAAGAAATAAAGTCTTAATTAAAAAACATAAGATAAACTATAGCATGGGTTCATAGCAATTCAATTCAGATTCTGAATTATAGGCTTTTTATTTAACCCTTTTTAAGATCTTACAGCTGCATCTATTTTCTCCCATGCCAGGAGTCCCAGTTATCAAGGACACTAAGAATGATGCAATTAGAATATCACATAATTGCATATTTTATCCCACATTATACAAGAAGCCTCTAAAATAAGATCAACACTACCACTAACAATATGATTACTCAAAACAGTTTGAGATAATTGTTTTGGCAGTTTTTTGTTCCCTTCATAGGGTATATCACAGTCAAATTACTATGTTTGAAAGTTATTTGAAGTAGTTTCCTTGTATGGTTATGCCACCAATTGTAAATACTGGTTCTTTTTTTTTTTTTTCTTTCAATTTTTAAGCTGTGCTTTCTTGTAATTTAATTTTGTTTTATAATTATTTATTTATATACCACCAAAGTCAAATCTACAAAACAAGTTATATTCAAAGAAATCTGACCTCTATTCCTGGCTCCTCCATCTGTTCCTTCCCTACCCTGTAACTATGGGGTTTATTCCTCTCCCTTTTAAAAATAAAAGCAAATGTGTATTATACATTTATACTTCCTCCACCTCCTCTCCTTCCTAAGATAAAAAGAGCATAACTGTACATACTTTTGTTGACATTTCTTTTTTTTTTCTTAATTAATTTATTTTTGGCTGCATTGGGTCTTCGCTGCTGTGTGTGGGCTTTCTCTAGTTGTGGTGAGTGGGGGCTACTCTTCATTGCGGTGTGCGGGCCTCTTATTGCGGTGGCCTCTCTTACTGCTGAGCGTGGGCTCTAGGCTCACGGGCTTAGTTGCTCCATGGCATGTGGGATCCTCCTGGACCAGGGCTTGAACCCATGTCCCCTGCATTGGCAGGTGGATTCTTAACCACTGCGCCACCAGGGAAGCTCGACATTTCTTTTACAATTAATAGTGTATTTCAATCAGCACTTCATATTAATATAAAGAGATATTCCTTTTTAACTGCTTCATAGTACTCCATGATGTGGATATACCATGATTATTTCAACCAGCCACCTACTGATGGACAATTGGGTTATTAATCTTTTTCTGTAACAAATTATGCTTCAGTGAAAACTTTCTGCGTCAAAAATTTTGAAATTTGCTGGTGCAGTTAAAAAAATTTTTATTGCTTTATTTTTTTGTTTGTTTTTTGGCCATGCCACACAGCATGTGGGATCTTGGTTCCCTGACCAGGGATCGAACCTGTGCCCCCTGCAGTGGAAGCACGGAGTCTTAACCACTGGACCACCAGGGAAGTCCCGCTAGTGCAATTTTGAGATAGAGTTCACATAAGTATAGATATCTATACATATCTATTTTTTCCCAGCTTGTCCTTTTACTTTCCTTAATGTGTTTTTGACATGCTAACCTTTTCTTTTGTTTTTTACTGTAACATGGTCATTTTTTAAAATTTTACTTCTTCTACATAGATAATTAATCCAACATCATTTTTTTTTTGGCCCCACCACACGGCATGTGGGATCTTAGTTCCCCGACCAGGGATTGAACCCTGCAGTGGAAGCATGGAGTCTTAACCACTGGATGTGGGAAGTCCCAATGTGGTCATTTTCATCAAGTTGTGATTTGGAAAAATTTCCCCATTCCTAAGTTACAGAAGTCACCCAAGTTTTATTCTAGTTATTTCTGTGTTTTCATTTCTCTGAGTAAGGGTATCTGATCCATTTGGAATTTATCCTACTGTAAGCTCTAAGGTACTAATGCAATTTCATCTTTTTTCTGTATGTTTATCCTTATGTTGTATTTTTTTTTGTTTTTGTTTTTTTAAGGGAAAAGGAAGGTTTCATTATTTGCAGCAAGTAAGGAGAGCACTGGGGATCTTTCCCAAAGCAGTGTCTCCTATGTTTATCCTTATGTTGATCACTTTCATTTATTAAAAAAGAGTCCATCTTTTCCCTACTTGTTTTAGCTGCTACCGTTACTGTATGCTAAATTTGCACTTATAATTGTGTCTATTTATGGATTTTTCTTTTCTGTTCCATTGGTTGCACTGACATCTTATGAGTATGATATTCAGTTTGAGTCCACCATTTCTATCTTAGAAGTTTCATTTTTCCAGGAATATGAAAATAGCATTTGTTTACTTGTTATCTTACAGACTGGGAATCCAGGTGTGAAACCAAGAAGCTGTCATCAAAAAGAGAAATTTATGAACTAGAAGCATCTCAATGGGAGATAGTAGAACAACTTACAAGCCGTAAGTGGGAGTGCAAAAGTTTTCAAGATGATAAGGAATGCAGAGACCAGTTTGAAAGCCATTTAGGAAATAAAGAGGGACTTTTTAGGCAACTAGTAGTCTATGAAGAAATGCCTAATTTAAGTCAAACCACATCCCTTACGTTACAACAGAGAATTCATTCTACTGAGAAATTCTATGAATGTAAAGCGTGCAGAAAATATTTTATCCTTGGCTTTCAACAGACTGAACATCAGAAAAATCATGAAAAATTCTATGAATGTAAAGAATGTGGAAAGGCCTTTATTTGGGACTCACAGCTTACTTACCTTCAGAGAGTTCATGTTGCTAAGAAACCCTATGAATGTAAGGAATGTAGAAAAGCTTTTATCTGTGCCTCGCAACTTATTTGTCATCAAAGAATTCATACTGGAGAGAAACCTTATGAATGTAAAGAGTGTGGGAAGGCCTTTATTCGTAGCTCTCATCTTACTCAGCATCAAATAATTCATACTGGTGAAAGACCCTATGAATGTAATGCATGTGGGAAGGCCTTTTTTCGTGGCTCACAACTTACTTACCATCAGAGAGTTCATACTGCAGAGAAACCCTATCAATGTAAGGAATGTGGAAAGGCCTTTATTCGTGGCTCTCAACTTACTGAACATCAGAGAATTCATACTGGTGAGAAACCCTATGAATGTAAGAAATGTGGGAAAGCCTTTAGTTATGGTTCACAGCTTACTCTACATTATAGACTCCATACTGGTGAAAAGCCTTATAAATGTAAAGATTGTGAGATGTCCTTTATTCGTGGCTCACAACTTACTGAACATCAGAGGATCCATACAGGTAAGAAACCACACGAATGTAAGCAGTGTGGAAAGGCCTTTAACTATGGCTCACAGCTTATTCGACATCAGAGGATTCATACTGGCGAGAAACCATATGAATGTCAAGAATGTGGGAAATCATTTATTCGTGGCTCACAACTTACTGAACATCAAAAAATTCACACTGGTGAAAAACCCTTTGAATGTAAGGAATGTAGGAAAGCCTTTATTCGTGGCTCACATCTTACTCAGCATCAGAGAATTCATACTGGTGAAAAGCCCTATGAATGTAAAGAATGTGGAAAGGCCTTTATTTATGGCTCACAACTGTCTCAACATCAGAAAATTCATACAGGTGAGAATCCCTATGAATGTAAGCAGTGTGGGAAGATCTTCATTTGTACCTCACAACTTAATCTACATCAGATTTTTCATACTGGTAGGAAACCATATGAATGTAAGGAATGTGGTAAGACTTTTATTCGTAGCTCACAGCTAACTTACCATCAGAGAGTTCATACTGGTGAGAAGCCCTATGAATGTAATGAATGTGGGAAGGCCTTTATTCGTGGTTCACATCTGACTCAGCATCAGAGAATTCATACTGGTGAGAAACCATACAAATGTAACGAATGTGGAAAGGCCTTTAATCGTGGATCACAACTTACTCAACATCAGAGAATTCATTCTGGCGAGAAGCCTTATAAATGTAATGCATGTGGTAAGGACTTTAGACGTCATTCACACCTTACTCAACATCAGAAACTTCATAATGGAGAAAAACTATGAAAAAATTAATTTAGTAAATCCTTTACCTGTTTGCCTATGACATTCACCTTTGGGATATCAGAAAATTCAGATTATGAATGTGAGAATCCTTTTTTACTTAAACTCATAAGTAACTCACCTTCAGAGAATTCACATTTAAGAAAGCCTAGATTAATATAAGTGCAGAATTACTTTCCATCACATTTCAATCCTAGTTAGACATTAGTGAATTCATATGAGAGCTCAACCCTAAAATGTAGGGTTCTGTTGTACAGTATCACCTGAGATCCACCATTTAGTATGTGGCTGTTCCTTTGCAAAAGTTACTTAACCCCTGTTTGTTTTAGTTTCCATTAATATCACATATTTCATCATAGTGTTCTGCAATTTAAAGAAGTAAATACATATACCGTAAAGCCTTAAAGCAATGTGTACTACGTAGTTAATGCTTAATAAATGTTAGCTATTATTGTAAACATTACTTTTATTTAGTGTTTTAATCATTAATCATTACTTTTAATCTTACTTTACAGAATTCAAATGAGAAGGAAACTTTACAAATACAGTACATACGGTAAATCTTTCATCACTCTTACTAAGCCTCAGGTAAATCATTTTGGAACAAAACATTCTAATATTATTAATGTGAGGTTATACCTGATTCTGAATCAAAATTCTTACTAAAAGGAAACCCTAAGGGGAAAAGAGTGTTTTGCCCTTACAAATAAAGCTGCTTGTGAACATTTTGGTATAAATTTTTGCATGAACATAAACTTCCATTTCTCTGGTCTAAATGTTTAAGAGAGTAGTTTCTGGGTTATATAGTAAATGAATGTTTCTCTTATAAGAAATGGACAAATCATTTTCCAAAGTGGCTTTTCCATTTTATAGTCACACCAGGAACATGAGTGACAGTTTCTCTGTATCTCTACCAGCATTTGGTTTTTTCACCATTTTTTAATCTTAGCCATTCTGATAGGTGTGTAATGATATCTCTTTGTGGTTATAATTTCCATTTCCCTAGGGGCTAATGATGGTGTGCTTATTTGCCATCCCTGTATCCATTGTGGTGAAATGACTATGTCTTTTACTGCTTCATTTTTGAATTGTATCTTTTTTTTTAACTGTTGGATTGTGAGAGAATGCTTTCTTTATTGTAGACAATACTAGTCCTTTGTTTGATATGTAGTTTGCAAAAATTTTCCCCAGTGCGTAGCTTTTCATCCTTTTAGCAGGGTCTTTTGAAAATCAAAACTTTTTAATTTTGATAAGGTCTAGCTTATTACTTTTTCCTTTTACGGATTTAGCTTTTGGTGTCAAATCTAAGGACTTGGGCTTCCCTGGTGGCGCAGTGGTTGAGAGTCCGCCTGCTGACGCAGGGGACATGGGTTCGTGCCCTGGTCCGGGAAGATCCCACATGCCACGGAGTGGCTGGGCCCGTGAGCCATGGCCACTAAGCCTGCACGTCCGGAGCCTGTGCTCCACAGTGGGAGAGGCCACAACAGTGAGAGGCCCATGTACGGCAAAAAACAAAAACCAAAAAAACCCAAAAAAAACATATATATATATATATATATTTTTATAGACTCCTTTTCTAGCTCCAGATCCTAAAGATATTCTCCTACATTTTTGCCTGAAGTTTTCATGGTTTTATGTTTTGCATTTAAGTCTGTGATCCATTTTGAGTTAATATTTGCATACATTATAAACTTTAGCTTCATGTTATTTCTTTGTGTTGCCTTATGGGTGTCCAGTTGTTCTCATACCATTTGTTGAAAAGGCTACCTTCAATAAATTGATTTTGTGCCTTTATATTTGTGTATGTCTATTTCTGTATTTTCTCTGCACACGTCTGAGTGTGCCTATCCCTTTGCCAGTACCACCCTGTCTTGGTTACTGTCACTCTATAGGATGTCTTAATATTGGGTAGAGTGATTCCTCCCACTTTACCTTTTTAAAATTGACTTAACTATTCTAGATCTTTTGCCATTTCATATAAATTCTAGAATAAACTAACCTATATCTACAAAAAAAAGAGTTTGCTGAGTTGTAATAGAATTTCAATTTGGGGATAATTGACATCTTTATTCTCTGAGTCTTCCAATCCATGAACATGATATGTATCTTCATTTTTAGGTCTTTATTATGGGTTTAATTGTGTTCCCCAAAATATTCAAGTCCTAACTCTCAGTACCTGTGAATGTGACCTTATTTGGAAATAGAGACTTTGCAGATGTAATCAAATTAAGGTGAGGTCATATTGGATTAGAGTAAGCACTACTCTAATGACTAGTATCCTTAAAAGAAGAGGGAAATATGGACACAGACACATAAGGAAAGCCATGTGAAATCAGAGGCAAGGTTGGAATGATGCATCTACAAGCCAAGGAACACTAAGGCTTACTAATAACTACCAGAAACTGGAAAGGGCAAGAAAGAATCATCCCCTAGCACCTTTAGAGAAAGCATGGCCCTGCCAATACCTTGATTTTGGACTTCTAGCCCCCAGAACTGTGAGAAAATAAAGTTAAGTTGTTTTAAACTAAGTTTGTGGTAATTTGTTATGGCAGCCCTAGAAAACTAATATAGTCTTTGATTTCTCTTATTAGGATTTGTAATTTTTGGCATACAGATCGCGTACATGATTTATAAGTGTATATCTAAGTGTTTCATTTTCTTTGGAAAAGTTGTAAATGGTGTGTTTTTCCTTTTAGCTATTAATCACTAGTATACACAAATTATATATATACATATATACAAATCAATATACAAATTATATAATTGGTGAGTTCTACAGCAAAGCCATAGACTAATATCAATATAATTTGTATATGGGTTACAAATAACTTGTATATTGATCTTGTAATCTATTATCTTGCTGCAGAAGTCACTAATTCGTTCTGGAAGTTTTTGTTTTGTACATTCCTTGGGATTTTCTACATAGATAATCATGTCAGCTATAAACAGGGACAGTTTTTTTCTTCTAGTCTGTCTTTTGTTTTTCTTCCCTTATGGTGACTATTACTTCCAGTGTTATGTTGAGTAAGAGTGGTACAAGCATATATCCTTGTTTCTGATCTTAGGGGGAAACTCTCAGTCTTTCACTATTAAGTATTATGTTAGCTATAGGTTTTGTGTAGGTGCTCTTTTTTATTTTTTTATCTTTTTTATTTAACATCTTTATTGGAGTGTAATTGCTTTACAATGTTGTGTTAGTTTCTGCTGTATAACATAGTGAATCAGCTATATGCATATGTATATCCCCATATCCCCTCCCACTTGCGTCTCCCTCCCACCCTCCTTATCCCACCCCTCTAGGTGGTCACAAAGCACCGAGCAGATCTCTCTGTGCCATGCAGCTACTTCCCGCTACCTATTTTATGTTTGGTAGTGTATATATGTCAATGCTATTCTCTCACCTTGTCCCAGCTTACCCTTCCCCCTCCCTGTGTCCTCAAGTCCATTATCTACATCTGTGCCTTTATTCCTGTCCTGCCCCTAGGTTCATGAGAACCTTTTTTTCTTGTTTTTAGATTCCATATATATGTGTCAGCATACAGCATTTTTTTTTCTCTTTCTGACTTACTTCTCTCTGTATGACAGACTCTAGGTCCATCCACCTCACTACAAATAACTCAGTTTCGTTTCTTTTTATGGATGACTAATATTCCATTGTATATATGTGCCACATCTTCTTTATCCATTCATCTGTCGATGGACGCTTAGGTTTCTTCCATATCCTGGCTATTGTAAATAGTGCTGCAATGAACATTGTGGTACATTGTCTCTTTTTGAATTATGGTTTTCTCAGGGTATATGCCCAGTAGTGGGATTGCTGGGTCATATGGTCATTCTATTTTTAGTTTTTTAAGGAACCTCCATACTGTTCTCCATAGTGGCTGTATCAATTTACATTCCCACCAACAGTGCAAGAGGGTTCCTTTTCTCCACACTCTCTCCAGCATTTATTATTTGTAGATTTTGTGATGATGGCCATTCTGACCAGTGTGAGGTGACATCTCATTGCAGTTTTGACTTGCTCTTCTCTAATAATGACGTTGTGCATTTTTTCATGTGTTTGTCAGCAATCTATATCTTCTTTGGAGAAATGTCTATTTAGGTCTTCTGCCCATTTTTGGACTGCGTTGTTTGTTTTTTTCATACTGAGCTGCATGACCTGCTTCTATATTTTGGAGGTTAATCCTTTGACAGTTGCTTCATTTGCAAATAGTTTTTCCCATTCTGAGGGTTGTCTTTTCATCTTGTTTATGGTTTCCTTTGCTGTGCAAAAGCTTTTGAATTTAATTAGGTCACATTTGTTTATTTTTTTAAAATTTTCATTACTCTAGGAGGTGGGTCAAAAAAGATCTTGCTGCGATTTATGTCATAGAGTGTTCTGCCTATATTTTCCTCTAAGAGTTTAATAGTGTCTGGCCTTACATTTAGGCCTTTAATCCATTTTGAGTTTATTTTTGTGTATGGTGTTAGAGAGTGTTCTAATTTCATTCTTTTACATGTAGTTGTCCAGTTTTACCAGCACCACTTATTGAAGAGTATGTCTTTGCTCAATTGCATATTCTGGCCTCCTTTGTCATAGATTAGGTGACCATAGATGTGTGGGTTTATCTCTGGGCTTTCTATCCTGTTCCATTGATCTATATTTCTGTTTTTGTGCCAGTAACATACTGACTTGACTACTGTAGCTATGTAGTATAGTCTGAAGTCTGGGAGCCTGATTCCTCCAGCTCCATTATTTTTCTCAAGATTGTTCTGGCTATTCGGAGTCTCTTGTGTTTCCATACAAATTGAGCAATTTTTTGTTCTAGTTCTTTGAAAAATGCCATTGGTAGTTTGGAAGGGATTACATTGAATCTGTAGATTGCTTTGGGTAGTATAGTCACTTTCACACTGTTGATTCTTCCAATCCAAGAACATAGTATATCTCTCCATATGTTTGTATCATCTTTAATTTCTTTCATCAGTGTCTTATAGTTTTCTGCATATAGGTCTTTTGTCTCCTTAGGTAGGTTTATTCCTAGGTATTTTATTCTTTTTGTTAAAATGGTAAGTGGGACTGTTTCCTTAATTTCTCTTTCAGATATTTCATCATTAGTGTATAGGAATGCAAGACATTTCTGTGCATTAATTTTTTATCCTACTGCTCTGCCAAATTCATTGATTAGCTCTAGTAGTTTTCTAATAGCATCTTTAGGATTCTCTATGTATAGTATATGTCATCTGCAAACAGTGACAGTTTTACTTCCTTTCTGATTTGCATTCCTTTTATTTCTTTTTCTCCTCTGATTGCTGTGGCTAAAACTTCCAGAGCTATGTGGAATGATAGTGGTGAGAGTGGGCAACCTTGTCTTGTTTCTGATCTTAAAGGAAACGGTTTCAGTTTTTCACCATTGAGAATGATGTTGGCTGTGGATTTGTCATCTATGGCCTTTATTATGTTGAGGTAGGTTCCCTCTATGCCTGTTTTCTGGAGAGTTTTTATCATAAATGGGTGTTGAATTTTGTCAAAAGCTTTTTCTGCATCTATTGAGATGATCATATAGTTTTTCTCCTTCAGTTTGTTAATATGTTTTATCACATTGATTGATTTGTGTATATTGAAGAATCCTTGCATTCCTGGAATAAACTCCACTTGATCATGGTGTATGATCCTTTTAATGGGCTGTTGGATTCTGTTTGCTAGTATTTTGTCGAGGATATTTGCATCTATGTTCATCAGAGATATTGCCCTGTAGTTTTCTTTTTTTTGTGACATCTTTGTCTGGTTTTGGTATCAGGGTGATGGTGGCCTCATAGAAGGAGTTTGGGAGTGTTCCTCTCTCTGCTATATTTTGGAAGAATTTGAGAAGGGGAGGTGTTAGCTCTTCTCTAAATGTTTGATAGAATTCGCCTGTGAAGCCATCTGATCCTGGGCTTTTGTTTCTTGGAAGATTTTTAATCACAGTTTCAGTTTCAGTGCTTGTGATTGGTCTGTTTATATTTTCTCTTTCTTCCTGGTTCAGTCTCAGAAGGTTGTGCTTTTCTAAGATTTTGTCCATTTTTCCAGGTTGTCCATTTCATTGGCATATAGTTGCTTGTAGTAATCTCTCATGATCCTTCATATTTCTGCAGTGTCAGTTGTTACTTCTCCTTTTTCGTTTCTAATTCTGTTGATTTGAGTCTTCTCCCTTTTTTTCTTGATGAGTCTGGCTAATGGTTTATCAATTTTGTTTATCTTCTCAAAGAACCAGCTTTTAGGTTTATTGACCTTTGCTATTGTTTCCTTCATTTCTTTTTCATTTGTTTCTGATCTGATCTTTATGATTTCTTTCCTCTGCTAACTTTGGGGTTTGTTTTTTTTGTTC